CACTTGTGTCCTTTCACTCGGAGGACAAGACTCCAGGCAGAGAAGAACATCTGGAGCTGGACTTGCCCCCCAGCGCTCAGCGATCGCTCCTCCTTTTCGTCCGTCTGCTCATGACCAACAGCTGGCAACGGTATCGGCAATCAAAGAACACCACAAAGTAGGACGTCTTTTTTTTTTTATTTCTACTGCTGCAGTTAGGAACAATTGTAATTGTTGCTCATACAAAAAACTTCAATGCAATGACATTTGTATTAAAAAGAGCATAACATTTCTGAATTCACATTAAATGGCAATATGTGTAATCTTGCAATTGGATACAGTTAGCACAGCATCGCATTTAACAGGACGTTATCTTACACATACAGTATATACACATTGTCTTTTACACTTAAGTTGCTTTTAATTTCATTGGATTTTTCTGGGAGTGCACTACACAGACTTACCAGAGCCAGTTCAAGAATACAATATTTTTTAACCTCCTATGAACTACAAATCTAATTTTGTTTAGTGTATGAAAAAGTAACCTTGATACAGTGAAACCCATTTAAAACATTATTTATCCTTCTGTTACCATGAGAAGCCTGTGATGAGGATCTACCTTAACCCAGTGCAGAGAAAATGTTTGAACCCCCAGTATAATTATAGATAGAAAGAATTACAATTTCTTTCCATGGTACACTTGTTTTAATTAAAACCAGACAGTCTTTTCTTAAATATTCAAAAGGGCTCATATTTACCAACTTCATTGGTGCATGAAGTTGGGGAAAAAAAAAAGTCATTAAGAATTGGTGTAGGTGAATTGAGAGGTGGATCCCTAGTTTATTCAGCATGATTAAGACGCTAATTAAAACGAGGTGGTTAAATAATTGAGCATTTAGTAAACAAGGACTGAGTCTGGACAGACATGGTCAGAAACATTGCGAGTTTGGCACTGACCACACAGGTTAGTGGAAACATCATGCCTCAATCAAAAGAGATTTCAGCAAGGATATCTGATGCTCCTCAGTTTGGGGCGAGTTATTAAAAGATGAAGAGAACCTGGTGAAGTCTAAGACTGTCATGAAAATAAATATGTCTATATAGGTCTAAAACTCACAAGAGTGCGACCCGCCCAGGGGCCACGTGCCCTCTCCCACCCGTCATGAGAATTAGACAGCAGGAGGTCAACATCACCAGCTCCGTCGGCCAGAGTGAATAATCGAGCCCCCAGATCTGGGACTTCAGGGAAGACAAGATTTTCTTTTTTTGCATCGCTAAGAGAAAAGTTGTATTTATTGCTCCTTGTTTAAATAAACACGCACACAAAAACAGTCATGAACAACGGGAAGGACAAGCCGCTGCCAATTAAAAAAAATAAATACATATAAAACGCGAGAGGACATCAGGCACAAGGCACTAACCAACAATAAAAATTACAATAAATAAAACTTTAAAAAAGGGTTTTACTCTTTTAAATAAATAAATTAAAAGGCATAATATAAATAATTGTCCTGTACGGTAAAAAAAGACAAACTGTTTTCTGTAATATACAGAAGGACCACACCACAGCGCAAAGCACCCAAAGGATGCAGACAACGCTCAGCTCACATTTTCTTTGCCTCTAACAGTCTACAGGTGCTTAACGTCGGAGTGTTTCGGCGTCTTGCCGATGCATCACAATGCATCATCCATTCACTTCACTTATCCACGGGATTCCAGTCCCACTCCAGCACCCGGGAGCTCCTCCCCAAGCTGATATCCGCCTCCTGTCCTGTGCGCCGCCCGGTGCAGGACTGTTCTCCCCTGTGCACGCTCCTCCTCCAGCCTCTCTTCCATCTTTGGGGTCGTATTGTAGCCGAGGTAGAGCTTCGTTCTCCCTTTGTGGAAAGAAAGGGACCAACAGTTAACACCCTCCGTCAGCTGAAGAGGCCCGGCTCCAGGTGCCGGTAGAGCAGCCTCTCCCCCACATTCCTGGGGGTTCGACACCCGTCTCCTCTCGCCGCAGTCAAGAGCAAGGCAGGCTGGGAAATCAACAAGCACCGCTGTGGACTGGCGAAAATAGCCCTGATCGTTACCTCCCCAACATCAAAAATGACTGTTCAGACAAAGCCGCAGAGCTTGACTTCTGGCCCTCCTGCAATCTGCAGTGATTTCCTCTCCTGCGTGCCACAGAGCAGCAGGTTCAGGTGAGACACCAGGGCATTACGCAGGCGTGAGAACTTGGAACACGCCAGGGCTCACTGCTGCCGACAGCAAAATTCTCCATCTTCAGAAGCTCTGCAGTCCTTACCTTTCTCTAGTGTCACTCAGTGGCTTGTGGCCGTTCCCAGCTTGACCTTTTCTTCATTCTCTACGTCATACGCTCCTCTTTTGTGATACCTGCAGGCAGGAACAGAACAGAGAGGTTTATATCCCCATCATCACCTGGAGACGGCAGCAGATTACAGGCCATCGCCTCTTAAAAAGAGGACCAGAGACAGGCTACAGAACAATCCTGACTGTCCTGTTCATCACCAAATCAGAGTCCTGTCTTGCTCTGGGGGGGGGGGCTTTTCAGAATTCAGTCTTGAAAAATAAAAAACAAAAACTCTCTTTTCCGTAAAGCAAATTGAGCATTACAAAACAAAGCCAACGGCAGCTACCCTTGATCAAAGGTTTTGTCCTGAATTCCCATGAAGCACAGAGGTTCGAATGGCAGCACGTACAGTGGCACTAGTAGGTACCCATCTGAGCCACTGCAGGCACGCTGTCCTCGCCCGGGTGAGGAGTCACCAGCCAGCCGTTACTCCTCTACCGCTGTTCTGACACAGCTGGGGGCTCAGGCCGGATACGGCGCAGCAGCGGAGAGCCAGGCGGGACACTGACCTGAACGCCAGCAGCATGCCGATCACGAGCAGGCACAGCGACGACAGCACCACCGCCACCACGGCCAGCGCGGTGCTCCTGCTGTAGCTCTCGCCCTCCGTCACCACCGGCAGGCTGAAGAAGTGGCAGCGCTCCCCCGTGTAGCCCGGCTGGCATCTGACAGGGCACAGACAGGCTGGTGAGCACGAGGACGGGCAGGCCGGCAGGGGACTGGGGACAGCGCCCGCTCCTAACGGGGGG